CTTTACGTTTCTTCTCCATGTATTATTCATGGATAGTACGGCAGGCTGGCTTTAAAAATCAGTCCACCGAGAAACGAAAGATCCAGCCAGGTCTGGGCCGGGATATCCACACCGTTTAATGACCAGGAGACCTCTCCGCGTAACGTGTCAAGGTCGGAAATGTCAGATCGAAACCCATCGATTCCAAAAATGCATCCCCCCCACCAAAAAAAAAAAAAAAAAAAAACACCCTTCTCCACAAAAAAAAAGACACTCTTCCTCACTAGTAAGCTGAGCACGTCGGCACTGTTGACGGCTGTGTTTGCCGAATCAGAACTGGGCCTAAAATAACACAAACGGCTCTCGGCTGCCCCAGCATGGGAGGGCTGTCCCAGGGAGACGGTGTCACTTTACAATGCCTTAGGTCCAGGACCCCACGTGAGCCACGCAATGCTATGAATCCACTACTCCTACTGCCTGCTCCTAACAAAGGAAGAAACCCCTCGGAAGTGAGCAGATACACCTCCTTGCTTATTAATGACCTGCCACTGACGGCCACAGCTCAGAAGCAGAGACGTGGACCCGGGTACTGTGATTCCAAAGCCACGCTCATCCGGTCGCTGGACTCCCACGTAGTCCACGCCTGGCTGGCTCAGGTTGGGCCGGGAACCAAACCGAGGCCCCCCCAGCGCTGTCCCAGCCACTGTGCAGCAGGGCCCCCTGCATGTGCCACCAGATAGGCCTCAGATCCCACCCTTAAGATCCTACAACTGTCAGGGCCAGCAGGGAGCACAGCGGTTAAGGTGCTGCACTCCCACATGGCTGATGGTTTGAGTCCCGGACCTGGTGGCTTGAAATTCACACTGGGTTCCTGTACATACGTGCCCCAAATCCCAAGAACAGAATGAAGGAGAGGGGACTGCGACATGGCCATCCCCTCTGGAGGGTGATTTTTCACTTTCCCTCTGTCTCTGTCTCTCTGGCAAGCACACACGCCCTATGGCAAAATCCTTAAAAGAAAAAAAATTAAATCCTACAACTATGAAGTTTTTGGAGAAGAAAATCCATAATTATATCCATTATTTTATATATATAAAGTAACTGGGGAGGGAGTGTTCGTGAGAAATACCAAAGCACGCAGTGACCCTGTGTTTGCGAAGGTCAGAAGGCAGAATGGACTTGGGTGGGGAGAAAGGCTCCCTAGGAGGGCAGGACTCCAGGGACGCGCACAGCCCCGGACAGGTTGGCACTCCGGACTGTCATCTTGTTCGTGGTGTGCACCAGAGAGAGACAAAGGGAGGGGGGACGACAAAGCACCCCACAGGGAAAGCCACGCCGCAATCTCATCCCCCCGCCTTTCAGGCCCTGGACATGCACACACACGCACCTGGCATGTCTTTCGAGCCACTGGGTCTGGGACTCGAACTGTAAAGTTGGCTGTGTGGGATCCAGTCACTTTAACCACTATGCCACAAGTTGGCCTGGCAGCTGGGACTTTTAAAAAGGCAGAAAAAGGGGCCAGCAGGTGGCACAGTGTTTAAAATCACTGTATTCCCACATGGCTGACTGTGGTTTGAGTCCCATACTGGAAGCTTGCTTTCTCACTTTCCCTCTCTCTCTCTTTAGTACAATTAAAGAACAACGACAAATGGAATGAAACAAATAAATAAACAAACTAATTAATTAATTAATTAAAAAAAAAGACAGGGGCCGGCAGGTGGCTTGGTGGTTAAAGAAGCTGGACTCCCACATGGCTGACCGTGGTACGAGTCCCAGACCTAGAGGTTTCCTTTCTCGCTTTCCCTTTCTCTCTCTGTCTCTCTCTGGTCAAATAAAAAATAGCAATAACAACAAGTAGAATTAAATAAGTTAATAAATCTTAAAAAAAAAAAAAAGAGAGAGAAAAAAATTTCAGAGAAGGAGGCTGCGTATGTATAAATCATACTCTGTGAGTAACGGAATTAGTGAATTCCATTTGGCAAACACCAGAAGATTCTTGTAAGAGATCAAGTGAGAAAGGTACATTGAAAGGAGACCCCAAAGGGCCTTGGACATCACTCTGAGGAGTGGACGGTCATCAGCCACCTGCCTCACCCTTCGAATGAAAAGCCTCCTTGAAGACCCCGCTGCTACGAAACGAGGCCTGTCGAGGACTCCCATCTCCTTCCCTCCCTCCCTCCCTGTCTCGTGAAAGAAATAAAAAATATATACATTTTTTTTTTAGAGGTTTTTGCCATAGGGTGCGTGCGCTCACCAGAAAGACAGAGAGACAGAAAGCCAGAAATCATCCCCCAGGGGGGATGGTCACGCCGCAATCCCTTCTCCTCCATTCTCCTCTCGGGATCTTGGGCACGCACGCACACGTGCCGGGTGTGAGTTTTAAGCCACCGGATCTGGGACTCAAACCGCGGTCGACTACGTGGGAGTCCAGCCACATAGCCATTACGCTAACTGCTGGTCCCAAAATATACATTTTTTTAAAAAAAAAGATTTGCTTTTTAAAAAGAAGACGACTAGATCCCACTGAGCACAGAAACCGATTTCAGCCTTCCCACTCACTGGGGCACAGGGACCCAGCGGTTCTTACCTGCGTTGGAAACTGTCAGTATCCTACCAGACACTGCTCGCCCCGTCAGTCAGGCTGAGACCAAATCCTGGCTCTACGCCCGGGCAGATACGGTAGCCGCTAGCCACGTGTGCTGTTCAAACCGAGCTCTGAATTATTTTAAAATGAAATCAGACTAAAACCTTCAGCTCTCGGCCGCTCTCAGGCACGCAGTAACCGTGGAGCACCAAACACAACAACTTGCCTCCTCTAGGGAAATTCTATTGGACGGCAGTGTTCTAGAACCCCACGCAGTCACCCAGAAGCGGCCTCCTTACCAACTGTAGTGACTTTCAAAGGATCACATCGTATCTGAATTTAAATATTTTGATAATACTGCTTTGGCAAAAAAAAAAAAAAAAATTAAGAGATTTTTGCTACAGGGCACGTGTACTCGCAAGAGAGACAGAGACAGAAGGTGAGAAA